CAAATCACTTCCTCCCTTTGAAACATTTGCTCAGGAGGGTTATAGAAACTTCATGCAAGGCCAGGGCACCTTTTTATCAACTCGAAGGCAGAAGGCTGGAAGCAATGCAGTTAATATCTGAATATTTTATAGTGCTGTTTGATGAGGAATTACAAAGATGGCCTTCCTGTTGGCCATACTCTGTCTCTTGACATCTTGCAATTTCTCTTACTATGATGTAAAAATTAAAGGAAAGCCTGGCACAGAGGGATAGGAAACCCCTCCTTAGCAGATCCTAAAATACTTGGCTCTGACAATGGTATCTGGGTGAAATAATTCAAGACCCCAACATAGTTTTCTGCATAGACTGTAGAGGTCACGTTCTTAGAGGTCGTTAACATGAGATAAAGAGTTTAGAGACTGAGAGGAGAAAGAACTTTAGAGACTTTCTTTTTCCCTTCCCTTCCTCACAGTGGGATATGATCAAGTTTCTTCTTGGGGACATTTTGGAGCTCTAGAAGTATTCTGAAAATAATTTTGAAAAACTTTATACTTCCTAGTACTTTTTAAGTTGACATTTAAAGTTTTTCATCTTAAATTTAAATGGTTAGAAGGAATTTAGGATATTGCTAATACTCCTGTTTTAAAAATACAGTTGTTAACACGCTTCTTTTAGATGTATCTAAAAGAATCTAAATACTATAGTGATTTGATACCCATCATCATCCATTCCACTTCCCCCAAAGAATTTTATCCTATTTTTATTATGCGTGAAAGTCAAACATTGAGGATACTGTCATACTTCTCTGCAAGCAAATAAATTGTTTCCTGTAACCTTAAGATTCTAAGCATAAAAGCTTGACAATTATAAATACACAGTTGATCAGAACAGCATAAATATATGTGGCAGAGACTGTTAACTGATTGCCAAACCATTTCCTCTTCCTTCAATGCAGTTAGATTGTTTCCATCTTTGTATACAGGGAGCTATGTAACTGAATTCTAATAAACCAGAAGTGAGGTACAGAATTTCCAGGTCTGCCTGTGAAAACCTCCCCCTTTGCAATCCTCCTGGCTTAGAGGAGAACCACCCATCAATCCTGGACACTCATTGTAGACTTCAGGTGAGGGGGAAAACAAACTTTTATTATGTTCTGCCTCTGATTTTGTGGGTTGATAGGTTAGTTTTTAGTGTTCACTCATAGAATATAGTTCAAGTTTTGATGAACTATTATTTAAGAAGTAAAATTATATCATAAATACATAGTGGGATGAACAGGTCTCGGGTTTTTTTTCCTCCAATTATTTTTGTATCGGGGTAAATATTATCAATTTAAGAGTTAGCATCAATTTTAGTCCTTTTTGTTTTTATTGTTGTGAAGTCCTAAGAAACTTTGTAATAAAAAAAAGTGTATGAGAATGGAAGAAATTTTCTTATAGCAATGTCACTCAATTCTTTGAACGCCTTCAGAATTACATACTGGAATTCACTATTATTTTTTTTTTATCATCAGCTGGTGACTTAATTAGATCATCTTTCAATTTCATTGGAGGTAAAAAAGAAATCACCTGAACTGCAAAAGGATATATATATTTTTTAACCCAGTGTCATTCTCTCTCATCATTATTTAAAATTGTCTCTTTACTGGGTGTTTAGAGATTTTTATCCAAAGGGCCTTGGTAAGATTCAGAATGGATAAGAGGTATATCTTTGTCAAATGTGAAAAAAATGAGGGATGATGCCTTGTCCTCAAGCATCTTTTCAGGCAGATCAACTTGAGGAGAGTACACCTGGAAATTGAAGATCTGGAAACTGATTCCTTTAAAAATAATCTAGCTTGTGTTTACCAGAGGAAGTCTGTATACTGTCTGGAAAACAAGTGCCACAGCATGAAGACAGTTTAGAGTACTCCCCATCTTCATCCCACCTCCAACTTTCTTTTGCCTCAGGGAGATACATATAGGGCCACAGGAGATAGCTTGTGACTTAGAGCTAAATGTTCCTTGAGGGTGTGTCACTGTGTTTCATAGGGATGGTATACTCAGGAGTTTAGAGGCTAAAGTGTGAGGACAGTTTCCTGCAGACTGGGAGAATGACCAAATGACACTCATGATGAACATATATCGAATGCTACATTTAAGAATTAGAGCCTAGACCTTTGTTTCAAGCACATATGAAATATTTTTTGAGAACTGGTTGCACGTTAGGCCATAAAGCAAATCAACAAATTTCAAGGAATTGGTATCAAACAGACTAACTACAATACAAATAAGCTAGACCTTGACAGTTTTGAGGAGTACTGGCCTGGTATTTTGTAGTGTCCCTCAATTTGGGGTTACCTGATGTTTGTCCCATGATTAGAGTGAGGTTATGGGTTTTGAGGAAGGAAGACCACAGAAGTAAAATGCCATTTTCAACATACATCAAAGGTACCTGCTATCAACCTGACTTTTCACTGTTGACGTTAACTTGGACTTAGTAGATTGGACTGTCAAAAGAACGTTTCTGTGAGCCCAAATTTTCTACAATACCTCCCAGGCTGTCTCAAGAACAACCCAAGCAGCCCATGGCATCACCACCTACGTGCATCAGGATTCTGTATCCCTGTCTGCTGGCCCACACTGCAGATTTTGGACTCGTCAGCCTCCATAACTGGTGAGCCGATATAAATGTCTTTCTCTATATATAAATATCCTATTGGTTCTGTTTCTTTGGGGAACCCTAATACACACACTAAAAAAGGGACAAAAGTCCTCTTTATCCTATATCTTAGGGCACAGAAAATCAGGGTGGAGGAATGGAACATCTTTTGCCCAGTAAATGGGGATGCTTTCAGAGCTGTCCCAGGGCAGTATTAAAAAGGGTATGAAACTGGCCAAATAGTGACACGTTGAACACAGAAGATCAACAAGACAGAGAATTAATTGAAACACGTAAATTCTTAAAAACTGATAAATTGAAGCTAATCAAAATTAAACACTTTTGCTCTGCAAAAGACCCTTATGTTAAGAGGATGGAAAGACAAAGCTACAGACTGGGAGAAAACATTTGCAAACCCCATGTCCCAAAAGGACAAGTATCTAGGATATCTGAAGAACTCTCAAAACTCAACAGTAATAATAATCATTTAGAAAATGGCCAAATATGAACAGACATTCCACTGGAGGACATACGGATGGCAAATAAACACATGAAAAGGTATTCAGCATCATCAGCCATTTGGGAAAGGCAAATTAAAGCCACAATGAGCTATAACAACATGCCTATCAGGATGACTAAAATAAAAAATAGTGACACCAAATGCTGGCGAGGATGCAAAGAAACTGAATTGCTTATACATCGATGGTGTGAATGTGAAATGGTACAGTCAGTTTGGAAAACAGTTTGGCAATTTTATTGTAAAACTAAACATTCAACCTGTCCACAAGGATCCCTCTCTTCATCCCTAACTGGGCAACCACTAATCCATTCTCCATTAATTTTATCATTGCCAGCACGTTATATAAAGGGAATGATACTCTATGTGACCTTTTGGAATAGGCTTTTTTTAACTTAGCATACTTCCCTGGAGATCCATTCAACTTGTGTGTACCAAGAGTTCACTCCTTTTTATTGTTAAGTAGTAGTCTATGATATGGAGATAACACTGTGTTTAAACATTCACCCACTGAAGGACATCTGGATTGTTTCCAGTTTGGGCTATTACAAATAAAGCTGCTATGAACATTCATATACAGGTTTCTGTGTGAACATAAGATTTATTTCTCTGGTAAATGCCCAGGAGTTTTATAGACATTGCCTTGCCTATAATATTGGAGAAACTAAGACCATTTCAAGTGAATTATTGAAAAAAATATATTGAAATTTACTAACTCAAATGGGATAGAGCATTTTGTTACTAAAAAAAAAAAAAAAAAAGGAATTGTAAGGGACTTTCTTGAATACGATCTTAAGTGTCAGAGAAGGAAGCATCAACTGGCAACTTAAAAAATGCCTGGAGGACACATCAGGTGTAGAATATCCATCAAATAAAAAACATTCTCCAAACTAAACTGGTCCACCTACTGAAGATTCTTTGGGAGAACACCACTTGAATTACCTTTGAGGTCCAACTTCAGGGGATACCTACATAGGTCCAAAAGGGTAAATTATCACCTTCAAACGATTCAAATTTTCAGGACACAAAATGGCCAGTTTAACCCTCTAGTGCCAGATTCTTTTTATACACAGGAGGAAAATACAGCTGAGTATTACAGCCACCTAAATTTGAGTTGCTAAGGAATTAATACACCACACATTTTCTCTGAATTCATTTATTTAGAGATAGAACACAGCCATTCAAAATCATGAAACACAGTGTCAACACAGAATAAAGGTGGGGAATTGAGTTGTTATATTTCATTTATATTAATAAATATCTTAAAAGAAGCAAATGTAGAATTTACAATTTATTAAGACACCAATGACACAAGTAACTAAGAGTTTCTATCTAAGGTAACTATCATACAGCTTGATTTTCAGGTTGAAAGATTATAATAACCTATATTTCAATTATATGGCAGCAAATACAAAAGCATTTTAAACATCTTTTGAACTGTATAGCATACTGTAAGCAGGATCATTCTCCTGGCCTCAGTTTATGGGTGGAGGCATCCTGGACACCAGCAATCCACACCACATAAATTGTCCACCATTAATAAGGTGTAAACTCTATTATACATGTCTTCTTCTGAACAGAAATTACTTTTGAATACCAGAAAGAATGCCAGCTATTTTTGGCAGACTTGGGATTTCCCAGCTTGGCCACTAATTAGCTATCTAAACTCTTTAAGTCTGTGTTTCTGTTTCTTCATTATTCAAATGAGAGGACTGGACTAGATTTTGTCTAAGTATCTACTGAAGCCTAATATTTTGCAGTTTCTTCCTGTCCTGAATGAAAAGTTTATCACCTTTGATTTTCAAAACGAACGTTCAAAGTGATTTTCAACAACTTCCTTCTAACCCATGATTATCCTTTTCAAAACTTTTGTCTAAATCCTTCAGAGTTCCTAACATCTCCATTGAACCCATACTTTTGCATGTGTTTATAAAGACCAAAACAAAGTTCACTATGTTGGTAAGGAAGGCCACCCCTATCCAGGGAAGATTACAGCCTAACTGGGTATTCCATTTAGTACCCACCATCACCAATCTGACTTTCTTTGAAGGCTCTGTGTCTCAATCTCCATCATAACCTACATTGTTGTCCAACAACCACTCCCTACCTGTAATAAGTTCCTTATCTTCCTATCAAGGGAAAAACCTAAAAAGATTTTTCAGACAACTGGCATTTAAGTGGCTTGTTTATACAACTTTAGCCACATTCTTTGCAATCTCCTGTAGGACAAGGCATCACATATTTCAAAAGGCAGCCATACATTTCCATTTGAAAAAGCTTAAGTTCTAACATACTTTAAAAATCAAACTGTCAAGCAGTTTGGTTTTCACTTTTATTTTCACAGGTACAGAGCAAAAGATAAACCTAACAATGTCCACTTTTCCTAACTCACCACCATACTCATAAAACTGTCCCTTTGTAACTCATTCTAAAACACGTATCAATGCGCTTGGCAAGAATATAATGAATACAGTGGCAAGCGGTAAATCTAATTCATGCCAGAACACTGGAGAAGTTACATGGGAAGCCACACATACACAACTTTACAAAAGTTGGGAATACTGTTAATTTCAAATAAGCAATGATCAAAATGGGACTTTCATGCCGGAAGTCCTGTTCAATCAAAATCACGATTTGTAAGAACAAGTGGTGCCACCAGTGTCCAAACATATAGCACGATGCCAATCCAACTAGAAGAGATTTTCACCCAGACAGCTGTCCACTGACTTTTCATCTCACGAGAAGGCTCATACCTAAAATTTAGGGAAAACAAAAAGGGGAGCAGTTTATCAGCTATCAAGCTACCACAACACTTTATTACTTCAGAAGTGTTCTTTGTATACAATTTGTGATAACAGATATAGTTGCTGGACTAAGCTGTTGCCCTGCTTTCCATACTGCTTTACTAGCTAATGTGATGGTAAAAGTCAATAATTTTCTTTAATGGAGTAAAGGACATAGGCCTCCAAAGTAGCTCTTTTTACAGAATACTCAGAGGCTCTATGTATTTCTGGCTTAAGTAGTTATGAGGTAGTAGAGAAATGGAGTATGACCTCTGGATAAGATGTTATTATAACAAAAGATTTATCAATCCTATCCTGTATAAAGAATATAATCTGTTCAAAGTGTATTTGGGAGCCCCTCCCCCACTCTTCACCTTCTCAGATTTAAGAGACTAGGAAGGAAATACAACCAAAATTTAGCTGATTTTTGTGTTAATGAAACATACTAAAAATATTTTTGATCTGAAGTCTTAACGTACTATTACTTAATAGCTAGAGCTGTGAACTGAGAACTATTTGGATTCTTACAGCTTAATATGCTGCAGTATAGGAATTTTTAAAAATACATATTTTTCAATAATAAATGCCAGTAAAGGCTGCCCTCAAAGAAATGAGCTAAAGAATAATCTTTTTTCTCCATCTTTTGCTGGTATTCAAAGTCTTCTTACAAGTTGTTAAGGGTATTATGCATTAAAAACTATTAAAAACAGAACTGCCCAAACCATATAGTTTACCTTGAATCTTAAATTGAACTTTCCATTAATCATTTGGACAAAATTAGAATTTTTAAAAACAAAATAATATAAATTACTACCTTCCTCTTACCAGGAAAAGATTTATGGGTTAGTTTTGAAGTGATAAAAGAGCAGAAATTACAGTTTTGAAGAGTTCCAAGGATCTATCTATGTTAATATATGCACATTTCAATTTTGAAAACTTCAGAGCCTTTAACAACCGAGTTTGAACAGAAGAGTCTTTTACTGTACTATGTCAGGAACTGGTTACAGTATTAAAAAAATAAAAATAAACATGGTGTTAGATCAACTATCAACATGTATTTCTGTAAGAAATGTGTTAGTTTTATGAAACTTTCTATTTTAATCTCTTCAAGATTTAGAAATATTTCAATGTTTGTTATTGCTAAAGCAGGGAACTAAAGTCTACATTTCTCACCCTGATCTCACTACTCATTAGCTGTAAATTTTGAAATATCTTCGAGGATAAAAAGTACTTCATACCACATGTTTTGCAATGGAATCATGAAAAAGCCATCAGAATTTCCTCATGCAAAGTTTTCATGAAACATAAGTACCTGTACCAGTTGGTAAGGGTCATCATGATATAAAGTGAGGCCAGGAAAAGCATGAAGTGAAAGAAGGAATAACTGTAAGTAACACCATCCTTTTCATTATCTACAGCTCGGTGAACATCATCTCCATCCTCTGGTGATCCTTCACTTCTGGCTCCACCATCTTCTATTAATGTTGATTCATCACTTGTTAGAGTCAGTTTATTAACCTGACTATTGTTTGAGGTACGGATGCTGCATGAAACAGTTTAGGGAGAAGGAAAGGGTCACTTAAACAGTGATTCGTAAATGGCTAGACTTCTTATTTTTTAAAAATTGATAATTTTTCTTACCTTGAATAAAACACACACAATAAAAAGAGGATTAGTCCTACGATTCCTTGAGCATGCCACCACTGGACAGACTGCCCCTCCTTTGGGATAGTGCTTGTTGTATTGTACCCAATTATGCTTAGCAGACTTGGGTTGCAGTTTGTTTCTGTAATGTAAATTAAGGTCAAGTTAAAATGTTAGAATAGTATAAGAAGTAATTTATTTTTCAGGGCATAATTATAGTTCTTTTAACTCTTTATACCCTTGCAAATTCAAAAACTTTTTGCAGGAAAAGGGCACAAGAAAAAATACTTTAAGACAACTTGTATTTATTAATAATGAGACCTTTTAAATTTTATAGTGCTAATTTTATAGTGCGGGAGCTGAGAGAGATTACTAAGCTCTTTATTGATCAGGAAATAGACGAAATTTAGATGACCTCTCTATTAAAAAAATCTAGTAGAGTTAGGAATAAAATTCAGATGTTCTAAACCAAAATGCATTGGCTTTTCTACTATATATTGTGAAATAACAATAGTTACTTTATGATGTTTATCAATTTGTCAAAGTACATTGTTATATAAGCAAGACTGCTTATGCATAAACCAGTTATTAGAATTTTAGCAAACGCTTTGTGGAAATGACCGACTAAGTCATCATGACCTAATGCTTCTTCAGTTTAACTCTTTTCTTTTTTTTGTGAGGAAGATCAGCCCTGAGCTAACATCTGTACTAATCCTCCTCTTTTTGCTGAGGAAGACCAGATCTGAGCTAACATCTATTGCCAATCCTCTTCCTTTTATTCCCCAAAGCCCCAGTAGATAGTTGTGTGTCGTAGTTGCACATCCTGCTAGTTGCTGTATGTGGGACGCGGCCTCAGCATGGCTGGAGAAGCGGTGCGTCAGGGTGCGCCCAGGATCTGAACCTGGGCCGCCAGCGGCGGAGCACGTGCACTTAACCGCTAAGCCACGGGGGCCGGCCCCAGTTTAACTCTTGTAAGAAAGAAGTAGAGTAGGGATGGTCAAGTATTCACTGAAGAGTCCATAATACGTTTGTTCCTCCCACAAAGCCAGATGTCAATCACCATCTTATTAATGAAAATAATTCTTATCTTAAAGCCATTCAGATAAGGATAATTTCTAAAGCAAATCATTAATAATGTTCTTCTAATCATTTACCTGGACAAAAATAATAAGGGATATTTCTCTAATATACTAAAAAAACCCTTTGTCCTCCTAGTGATAAAGCACCTATAGAGTTTGTAAACTCAAGGAAATGAGATTCAGCTAACATATAACTTTTTTTTAAAGAAAAGAGACCATTTTCTTCCTTTTCAAAAAACAGTCATTTCTCACTAATTTGTTTCACCCCAAATGACATATATTGGCTTCTATTTCCATGGAATACAATGTAAGTGGCCTATAAAGAGATTCATTAGAAAGGCCAATTATATTCACTTGCAAGGTAGTCACAGACAAGAAGAATGAGTGAAAAACCCTATACTGTTTACAAATGAATCAAGAACCATTTGAACAGCTTTTTCTTTCCTTCTATACATACTATCATATACACTGTGCAAATTAGGTATATTTCTTATAATTTTCATATAATTTCTTATAACTTTGTTAGTGAAGGAAGAAACTAAGTGGAAAAAAAAACAGCAATACATCAAAGATGAAAATGGTTTTATTTCCATACTCTTTATTCCTCTAGGAGCTTAATTTCACAAAATGACCGTCTTTGGAAAAAAGAAAAGTTGCAGGATTTATAAAAAGAAATAAACCCAAGCAAACAAGATACCTGGTTCATTGGTCATAGCAGACCATGTCAAATACATTGTGTAGACTGTAATGACTGAAGACTGTAACAAACCAGATCTCGGTTGTGATTCCTACAAAAAAAATTAAGCAACACAAATAAATATTCTGACATCATCCAAGATTCAGGAAAACTTAGAAAAAGAGAAGCTTCATAAAAACTAATGATATAAACAGCATACTTGGATTTTTGGCAGTATAGACATTACAGAAGCACCAAGGCAGAGGAGCATGTTGACACTGATGAACGCTTTATTTTCTGAACAACTGGCTGGATGAGTATAATAAACAAAGAATAGGACGATAGCAACTAAAGACAGCAGATAATTCATAGCTGTAGCTGATAACAAAGCTGTGGAGGAAATATAATTGGACAATTAGATTTTATCACAAATATCAGGAATTAGGCATAGGCCTCATTTTAAACACAATCTTATTTTATTCAAAAATACATTTTAAGCAACTAACATTGTCAACATTATACAGGCTATAAAAGCAGGGAAGAATATTAATTCTGAACTTTATCATAGAAGAATTTTGTAGTCTTTACACATAGCTCACTATTATGGTATTTTCAAGGACAAGAAGCAGTAACATAACATAATTTTTATTAGTAGTATTATCTGTATCACAGAGTTTACAAAACATTCATGTTAGCCATTCTTTCCAAAATACGGAAAAATAATTAGAAGAGGAATATAGTTATGCATCACTTAACGACAGGGATATGTTCTGAGAAATGCAGCATTAGGCGATTTCATTCTTGTGCCAACATCAGAGTGTGCTTACGCAAACCTAGGTGGTGTAGCCTACTACACACCTAGGCTGTATGGTACTAATCTTACGGGACCACCATCATATATGTGGTCCATCGTTGACTGAAATGTTGTTATGCAGCACATGACTGTATTACTTAAGGTTTTTAAAGAACCATAATCATTCAGCTGTAAACAAGGGCATTAAGAAACAAAATTATTTTGTTAATGCTAAGCCCACAAAACAATGATGCTTTTCCTCATCAACTAAAATCTTAAAAAAATTTTATTACGGAATAGTTAAGTCATTATTATTTAATAAGACAACCTAAATTTCTTCTATGTCAATTTCAACATACACGTTTTAGTTTTTGTGCTAATACAATATACATGTATTTATGTAGATGGGCCTCTTGCAGGGGATCCATCCAAAAAATATTTACTGAATGCCTACAAGGTTCCAGGCCCTGAGGATACAGCAGGGGAACAAAACAGAAACTCCTGCATTAGACTTTGCATTAAAGAATGAGGTATTCTATGTAAGTGAATTTTCCAGATGACTAAAGCTTACTTCTTTGAATACCAAACTCTGTTTTAACCAGTGAGATCAAATACCACAAAGTAGTTGTGTGGGAGAGATATTAGGTTAGCAGATACATTAAATTTAGCTTTCACTCTGATTTAAAATAATTTTTTAGCTGAAACTCAGATCATTTCACATAAAAATCTAGACTTATGGCTTCTTTTGAAAAAAATCAGAAAAATGAAGCCACACTGGGTTCACATTTTCATAAGGCAGTTATTGGCTGGAACTGAGCAGTAGCTATACACTTTTGACAGGCCCTTCACACTCTCCAATTCATCATAGTCCCCATTATTAGCACGAGAATTGAATATGCACTTAAAGTGGTTCTCTTCCCTAATTTTTGTTCATCTGTTGTAAAGCATTTGAATTTTGACCTTGTTTTACACTATAACCATAGGACTCAAGTTTATTTTTATAAATAAACAAACATTAATTACACTACTATCAGAATTCTCTTAGGTGTTACTGATACACATAAAGGCATCCTTTAAACTTATATAAAATGTTCCAGAGTTGCTTTTTCTATTTTTTCTGCTTGCTGATGTTTAGAAATTATACCAGTTTGTTTATCTATTTCTAGCAGTCCTGGTCCCTTTAATATTTTAGTTTTAACCTGCTGTAGGCTAGGATATTAGGCTATAAAACGTAATATTTTCAGCAATACGCTTTGAAACATCTATTCAAACCAGTCAGGGTCTTTTGGATTATTTCCTGGTTCTTTGGTATGTTCCTAGTTGATTTACCAAAACCTCTCTCAACAAGTTGCTGACATAATGTGATAGAATGCCACTCACAAACTTTGGAAGTAAAAAGCTCTTCACAGAAAATTATGCCATAAAAATTGTGATTTCTTTATAGTCTACATATCTTCTCTCACCTTCAAAGTTTCAACTATCCTGAAGATGTTCTCTAAGACAAAAGCTTACCTGCATACCAACACCTTGAGTTCCCTTCTTCCATTTTTTCAACCCATGATTCATTCCATGAATGGGCAAAATCAATGAGTAAGACCAGCTGTATGAGGATGAAGCAAAAGGCACCTGCCATGCCTACATAAAACCACACTGAAAGAAAACCACACACACAAATGAGTGGCTGGTTCAGTTTTTATTATTTCATCACAATTACAATACACAAAAACTAAAATTTTACATAAATGCCTTGATTTTACCAACTGGAAAACAAAACAAACAAAAAAACAAGTAGAGTTACAGTTCCAGGCAATAATTAATTCAGTTTCTTTATAAAATATCAACACAATTAAAAAAAAAAAGATTTCTTACCAGTTGTAAAAGTTCCTTCTGGAATGAAGAAAGCCCCAATAATAATTGCAATTGCTGCAGCAAATTTAAAGAACCAGAATCTAAGAAAGAAAGATGATTTTTTATTCATAAACATTCATTCAACAAGTAGTTTCATATATAAAATCTTTTAGGAACATCTTAAAGAATAGCTACACTTTATGTGATTTTTCTATTCTTTCTGAAGATATCCTGAAAATGAGAAGTGAGGACTATTATAGGACAGTTGTAAGAAAGATATAGAAGTCCCCCCGTTATCCTCAGTTTCACTTTCCATGGTTTCAGATACCCACGGTCAACCACAGTCTGAAAATAATCCTATATCACAATGCCTATGTCCTTCATCTCACTTCATCTCATCACACAGGCATTGTATCATCTCACATCATCACAAGAAGGGTGAGTATAGTAAAATAAGATATTTTGAGAGGGAAACCACATTCATATAACTTTTATCACAGTATACTTGTTCTATTTTATTATTAGTTATTAATCTCTTACTGTACCTAATTTATAAATTAAACTTTATTATGGGTATGTATGTATAGAAAAAACACATAGTATACCTAGGGTTCAGTACTATCCACAGTTTCAGGCATCCTCTGGGGGTCCTGGAATGTATCCCCTGCAGATAAGGGGGAACTACTGTATATTTGTTACTAATTCATTATGATAAAATGAGAATATTAGTTCCATTTCACAGGCTGATTTTACAGGATGAGTGAGATAATGTCTGAAAGTGTAAGGTGCATTGTACAAGTGAGTAGGTTTTAAAAACATGATAAATAGCTCCATCAAAAACTCTGATGATAATTTAAAACCACCAGGTTTAAGATATCAGCATCACGGCATAAGACGTCCCTACTTTTTGTCTCCCTAGTTTTAACAACTAATTAGGCATCCATCCACAAACAAAACTGCCTCTGTGGGAGTTGTGGGATCCAGCAACATACGCCAAAAAACCTGAGAAGAGTCTCAGCCACCTGTGCATTTGCTAATAGGCAGACAGACTTTGATATGGGCTGCGGAATCAGCAAACCTGCCCCAACCCCTTTTGACCAAGGTTGGGGAAAATCTGGAGAGTGATGACTTTTTCAAATACTTGTGGACAACAGAAATTTGTAAAAGTTCAGCCCTCCTTAGGGGAGATTCCAGCATGCCACGTGAGAGAAGAACAAAACAAGCTTCAATGCAATAGAGAGGGCAAGAGAAACTTTGCCCAGTGCCACGCCTCCACCAAGGCAACACAGCACCAACGTTATCTGGCAGCAATCTCTCCAACAGGGGAAAAGGAGAGCTGTGAGTGACCGGCTACCCCAGCACTGTGGGACAATTATGGAGAAACCAGTTTCTCTCCAGCAGCGCCTTCATGTACTGAGGCAGAACCTTCATGACTAAGGGGAGGGAGGAGATGGGGAAAGAGGAAGATAAGAGTATCAAAGAGCATTAAGGAACACAGTTCCTGCTGACTGCACTCAGGACTTAAGCAGCAAGTCTGCCCACAAGCCTCTGGGAGAACCTCAGATGAGAATCCCTCCACTGGCTGTGCAGGACCTCAAACATCCTGAGTGCTAAACCCACACCTCCCTCCACTCTGCAGCTAGCTCCTTGTGTGCACTCCCCTGAGTGCAGCTGCGAGAGCAGAGATAGTAATGGGAGTGCTCTGAGAAAAACAGACCACAATCTGTGGGCAAAGGAAAAACCACAAACTTGAGCTGTAGTGCCACTTTCTGGAAAACAAGAGATTTCCAGTAGCAAGCCAGGTGAGTTGGAAGAACCAAAGACAAAGCTTAAGAATTCTGCCATAAAAGGGAGCAAGAAATGTACAGCAGATATATAAATACAAGGTCAGAGAGAACCCACATATAAGATCAATGAGCAGCAGACCCCATCTGAAGGCAAACAGTAAAGATTTGAGGTGTCTGCTACTTCAAATGTTAAAGCAGCAACACAGAACTACAACGAACATGAAGAATCAAGAAAATATTTAATCATCAAAAGATAATCATTCAATAACTAAGCTCAAAGGCATGGAATCTTGTGATCTGGTGGACAAAAAAATTCAAAATAGCTGTTTTGAGGATACTCAACAAGCTACAAGAAAACACAGACAATTAAACAAAATCAGAAAAAAGAATATATGAATAAAACAAGAAATTTAGCAGAGTCAGAAATCATAAAAAAGAACCAAACAAATTCTGGAGCTGAAGAATTCAATGAAAAAATGAAAAACGCCATAAAGAACATGTACAGCAGGGGAGCTCAATGGAAGACAGAATAAGTGACCTAGAGGACAGGAATTTTGAAATAACTCAATCAAGGGTGAACAGAAAGAAAAAAAAGGAAAAGAGCGAAGAAAACCTATGAGATTCTAATATTAGAATAATCAGGGTTCCAGAAAAGAGGAGAGGGAGAAGGAGGCAGAAAGTTTATTTAAAGAAATAATAGCTGAGAAAACCTGAGGGCAGGCTTAAACATCCAAGCTCACAAAGCTAATAGATCATGCTATTATCTCAATGCAAAAGGACCTTCTCCAAGACATATTACAGGGATACCTCTGAGATATTGTGGGTTCAGTTCCAGACTACTGCAATAAAGGCAGTATTGTAATAAAGCAAGTCAATGAATTTTTTGGTTTCCAAGTGCATATAAAAGTTATGATTACACTATACTGTAGTCTATTAAGTATGCAATAGCATTATGTCTTAAAAAATACATACATACCTTAATTAAAAAATGTTTTATTCCTAAAAAACGCTAACCATCACTTGAGCCTTCAGCAAGTCATAACCTTTTTGCTGGTAAAGGGTCTTGCCTTGATATTGATAGCTGCTAACTGATCAGGGTGGTGGTTTGAAATACTGCCAAGAATTGCCAAAATGCGACACAGAGACACAAAGTAAGCAAATGCTGTTGGAAAATGGCGCTGATAGACTTGCTTGATGCAGGGTTGCCACAAACCTTCAATTTGTAACAAACACAATATCTGCAAGGTGCAATAAACTGAGGTATATATATCATCAAATTGTAAAAAAATCAGATAAAGAGAGAATCCTAAAAGCAGCCAGAGGAAAAAAGATTGTAATCTACAAAGAAACTCCCATTACACTATCAGCAGATTTCTCAGCAGACACACTACGGACCAGGAGAAAACGGAGTGACATATGCAAAGTGTGGAAGGAAAAAAAATGGCCAGCCAAGAATACTATATACAGCAAAGTTATCCTTCAGATATGAAAGAGAAATAAAGACTTTCCTAGATGAAAAAAAGCTGAAGAATTCAACACCACTAGATCTGCCTTGCAAAAAACGGTGAAAGGAATTCTTCAAGCTGAAATGAAAAGATGCTAATTAGTGACATGAAAATATATATGAAAGTATACAACACACTGGTCAAGGTAAATACACAGTTAGATTTAGAAAACTCTAATTCTGTTAACACAATGGTGTGTTAACCACTTAACTGTAAAAGTTAAAGGAAAAGAGTATTAAAAAAACTATAGCTAGTGTAACGAAAATACACAATATAAAAAGACATAAAATGTAACATCAAAACTATAAAAGGAGAGGAGTAAATGGGTAGGGTTTTCATATGCAATTGAAGTTAAGTTGCTATCAGCTTAAAACGGACTGTTATATGTAAGCCTCATAGTAAACACAAAGCAAAAACCTAGAGTAGATTCACAAAAGATAAAGAAAGGGAAACAGAGCATAGTTACACAGAAAATCACCAGTTTACAAAGGTTGGCAAAACAAAGGGAAAAAAGAAACAATAGAAATACAAAACAACCAGAAAGCAATGAATAAGTTGGCATTAGTAATTCCTTATATATCAGTAATTACCCTAAATGTAGATGTACCGAATTCATCAATCAAAAGGCACAGAGTGGCTGGATGGATAAAAAAACAAGAACCAACTATATGTTGCACACAAGACTCACTTCAGATTCAAGGGCACATGAAGGCTCAAAGTGAAGGGCTGGTAAAAGATAGTCAATGCAAAAGGCGAGCAAAAGAAAGCAGAGGTAGCATACTTTGACAAAAATGTTAACAAGAAACAAAGAAGTAATAATATAATGATAAAAGGGTCAATTCTATTCAACAAGAAGATATAACAATTGGAAATATATACATACCCAACATCGGCACACCCAAACGTATTAAGCAAATACTAACAGATCTGCGGGAGAAATGGACAATACAATAACAGTAGTGGACTTCAATACCCCACTTTCAGCAATGGATAAATCATCCAGACAGAAAATTAACAAAGAAACACTGGACTTGAACCATACATTAGACCAAATGGACCTAAGAGACATTTATAGAACATTTCATCCAACAGCAAAAGAATATACATTATTCTTCCCAAGTACACACGGAACATTCTCCAGGACAGATCATACGACAAGACACAAAACAAGTCTTAGCAATTTTAAGACTGAAATTTTACCAAGTATTTTCTGACCACAATAGAATGCAACTAGAAATCAACAAGAGGAAAGCTGGAAAATTTACAAGCATGTGGAAACTAAATAACACACTCCTGAAAAGCCAAGAGGTCAAAGAAGAAATCAAGAGAAAAACAAGTGAAAATGGAAACACAACAGAATACAGACCAGAAAAATAACAGAAAGGATGAATGAAACTAAGAGCTGGTATTTCAAAAAGATAAACAAAAGTGACAACCTTTTAGCTAGAGTCAGAAAACAAGAAAACTCAAAATCAGGAATGAAAGAGGAGACATTACAACTGATACTACAGAAATGCAGAGATCATAAGAGACTGCTATAAAGAATTATATGCAAACAAACTGAATAACCTAGAAGAAATGAATACATTCTTAGAAACATATAATCTATCAAGACTGAATTAGGAAGAAAGAGAAAATATGAACAGACTAATAACAAGGAGATTGAATCAGTAATTAAAAACTTCCCAACACAGAAGAGCCCAGGACATGATGGTTTCACTGGTGAATTCTACCAAACATTTAAAGAAGAATTAATGCCAGTCCTTCTCAAACTCTCTCAAAGAAACTGAGGAGAGGACACTTCCAAACTCATTTTACCAGGCCAACATTAGCCTGATGCCAAAGCCAGGGAAGGACACTACAAGAAAAGAAAATTATAGACTAATTTCTCTGATGCACATAGACATAAAAATTCTCAACAAAATGTTAGTAAACCAAATTCAACAACATATTACAAGGATTATAGAAACATGACCATGTGGGATTTATCCTTGGGATGCAAGGATGGTTCAACATATGCAAACCAATAAATATGATAATTTAATGAAAGATAAAAATCGTATGCCCATCTGAATAGATGCAGAAAAAACACATTTCACAAAATATAACATCAACGTTTTATGATAAAAACCCTCAACAAATTGGATATAAAAGGAACACAACTCAACATAATAAAGGCCATATATAACAAACCCACAGTTAATATCATATTCAATAGTTAAAGAGTAAAAGCTTTTCTTCTACAATCAAGAACAAGACAAGGGAGCCCACTCTTACCACTCTTACTCAACACAGTACTGGAAGTTCTAGGTAGAGCAATTAGGTAAGACAAAGAAATAAAAAACATCCAAACTGCAAAGGAAAAAGTAAAATTGTCATTAGTTGCAGATAATACGATCTCATATATAGAAAACCCAAAGACTCAACCAAAAAAATGGTTGGAACTAAGCAATAAATTCAGTCAAACTGCAAGATATAAAATCAACATACAGAAATCAGTTGCAATTTCATAAACTAACAACGAAATACCTGAAAAAGAAATAAAGAAAACTATCCCCTTCACAATAGCATCAAAAGCAATAAAACACTTAGGAATAAATTTAGCCAAGGAAGTGAAAGATCTGTACAATGAAAACTACAAGACTTGATGAAAGAAACTGAAAAATGCAGACAAATGGAAAGATATCCCCTGTTCATGGATCTGAAGAATTAATATTGTTAAAATGTCCATACTACCCAAAACTATCTACAGATTCAATGCAATCCCCATAAAAATTCCAATGGCACTTTTCACAGAAATAGAAAAAACAATCCTAAAATGTGTATGAAACCACAAAAGACCCCAAATGGCCAAAGCAATAATGAGAAAGAACAACAAAGCTGGAGGTATCACACTTACTGATTTCAAACTATACAACAAAAGTATAATAATTAAAACAGTATGGTACTGGCATAAAAATAAATACATAGACCAATGGAACAGACTGCACAGCCTAGAAATAAACCGTTGCATATACGATCAACTAATATTTGGCAGGGGAGTCAAGAACACTCAATGGGGAAAGAACAGCCTCTTTAACAGACAATGTCGAGTAAACTCGATAACCACCTGCAGAAAAATTAAACTGGACTCCTATCTTCCCCTACATCACTCACAAAAATTAACTAAAAATGGATTAAAGGCTTAAATATATTTAAGACCTGATACTGTAAAAGATATCAGGAAGATACTGATACCAGGAAGAAGAAAACAGGGAAGAAGGTCCTTGATGTTGGTCTTGGCAAAGAGGTTTTGGATGAGACACCAAAAGCACAGCAACAGAAGTAAAATCAAACAAGTGGGACTACATCAAACTAAAAATCTTCTGCACAGCAAAGGGAATCATCAACAAAATAAAAAGGCAGCCTACCAAATAGGAGAAAATATTTGCAAACCATATATTGGGTAAGGGATTAACAGCCAATATACATAAAGAACTCATATACTCAATAACAAAAAAACAAACAATCCAATTAAAAACTGGGCAGAGGAACTAAATAGATATTTTTCCAAAAAAGACATACAAATGGCCAACAGGTATATGAAAAGGTGCTTAATATCACTAATCAGCAGGGAAACGTAAATCAAAACAATTATGAGATATTACCTCGCACCTGTTAGAATGGCTATCATCAAGAAGACAAGAAATAACAAGTGTTGGCAAGGCTGTAGAGACAAGGGAACCCTTGTGCACTGTTGGTGGGAATGTAAACTAGTTCAACCATTATGGAAAACAGTATGAAGGTTCCTCAAACAATTAAAAATAAAACTACCATATGATCCAGCAATTCCACTTCTAGGTATATATCCAAAGGAAATGAAAACAGGATATTGGAAAGATATCTGCACTCCCATGTTCACTGCAGCGTTATTCACAATAGGCAAGATATGAAAACAACCTAAGTGTCTATCAACAGATCAATGGATAAAGAAATTGTAGTGTACATACACAATGGAATACTATATAGCCATGAAAAAGAAGAAAATCCTGCTATTTGCAACAGCATGGATGGACCTTGAGGGCATTATGCTAAGTGAGATAAGCCAGACAGAGAAAGACAAATACTGTATGATATCACTCATTGTGGAATCTGAAAAAGCTGAACTCGTAAAAACAGAGAATAGAATGATGATTACCAGGGTCTGGGGTGTGGGGGAATTGGGAGATGTTATTTAAGGGTACAAACTTGCAACCAGAAAATAAATATGTACTGGAGATCATGTACAGCATACTGATTATAAGCATCAATACTGTATTAAGAGTTCAACTTTGCTAAGAGATTGGATCTTAATTGTTCTCACCACACAGAAGAAATAATAATTATGTGACATGATAGAGGTGTTAGCTAACGCTACGATGGTAATCATATGAAAGCAACACTTTGTACACTATAAATCTACACAATGTTATATGTCAATTATATCTCAATTAAAAAAACCCACAAAGATGGTTGTAAGAATGCTACACGTATGCTACTTTGAGAAGAGTTTTATCTCAGAGAATGGTTGTGATAGCCATTCTGTAATGCATATTGAAAAGTGTTTAAAAACACATTAATAAAGATGGTTATAAGAGTGCTAAAAACAATAAAAATAAAATAAAACCAGTGACTAAGGGAACAAAATAAAGTCAATGCCACAGCATATTTTTTCATTAATATTTATATTTCACTTGTTCATTCTTCCTCTCTTTCGTAGCATATGCTGATAAGTAAGCAATAATAGATACTCAAAAAAATTCCTTTAATTTATAGGAAAAAAAAAACAAAAACACAGAGATAAAATTTAAAACATTCAAAATGAGTACCAGAAGTGGTGCTCTATATTGTCAGAGATTAATAAAAGGGACCCTGAAGTTTCTTTCTAGGTTGTCCAGTACAACCAACCATTTAGAAAAATCAATCAATCGCCCTGTTTATGAATAAAAGTTTTTCATTTTGGTTGTAATGTAGATCTAAGGAACTGAGTTCAGTTTTACATAGTGAGACTGGTCCACCAAAAGCTAAGAGAAGAAAGGAGGAATAAGCTCCTCATTATCAGTTACAGATGTGGCAGATCCTCTTTTTAGGATGAAAATATAAAACATTATACATCAGAGATTATACCAGTAAATGACCCAAGGCTACTATTCAATATTTATATTTCCAAAGTCTGACATTCTCTAGTAGAGGCAGGATTTTCTTACCTTGTCATTCATGAGTAACAAAATAATTCTGCAAATTGTATAAATTTATTCTACTTTGAAGTTTCTCTAGACAGACTTAATATTACTGAGAAGCAGCTCCCAGACTTCTATATTGCAGTTTATTCAAACACGCACCCATTGTGCACTGCAGCTCTCGGGTCACTGCTGCTCTTCACTTTGATCACTAGCAGAGAGAGGACAAGATGGAACATGGCCAAGCCAAAGCACAAACGGTAAACCGCTTTATAGCCAACCAGAACATTACACGGGACGACCCCTTTCTCATGCTCACAAAATCCAGGAATCTAGAAAAACAAAACAACAGTTTGTGATCTAGAATTCTTTCAAGTGAAAATTCTGTGTAATCAAATAGTTCAAGGAAAGGTTTAGAAAACTGAAGTTTGCTTTACAGTTTATGCTTAATAGGTAATCGAGGTAAGTCTGGAACATTTTCATCAGATAGAAGTTTAACTCTTTTTTCACTTTATGTGAGTACATGATAAACTACAAATGCCAATTCTAAACTGGATGCTTATTTTGACTTGCAGAGTAATTCTACATTTTTAAAAACTTGCATTCCACTGTGATATACTGAATTACCTATACAAGAAAAAAGAAAGATACAATAAGTAAATGTTTGAAGAATTATAAAATAACTAAATCAGTTTCTAAATACCAAAGAAAAACATAATGGCTTTTCAATGGCTTTAAATTCATTTTCAGTTTTGGTCCCTTACTCTACAAGTGTCGTTTCTGATAATGAATGGATGTGGATTAATAGCATAATAGCTGGCAGTGATTCTATTTTTTTAACTTAGAATCTTAAAAAAGACTGATGACCATTTCAGAAAGTCACATGGGAATTAGAATACAAAAAAATATTTTGAAGTGAAATAAATGGGAGTAGTCATCAGAATTACATACATTATTCATATGTATGAGAATTAAAATTACATTTCAGCTAATGGAGGAGCTACTTCCTTTTGCTAGTTCCTACACAGTCTTGATCTCACTTAAATCTTACCTTCCTGACCCACTTTAAACCTTATGGCAATATATACTTACTCATACTTACAACATGTAATCACTAGCACCTTTAATTATCCCACTCCATTATACGAGCGCAGCACATCACCTGGCCAATTCCCATCATTAAGTTAATTCAATCATCTGCACTGGTCAGCTTACAGAAGTACAGTAACAACCCCCAAATATCAGTGGCTTAAAATAGCAAAGGTATATTTCTTGCTCATGTACATGTACATAATCGGTCCTGAGTAATCAACTCAGGATTCCAGGCTGTTGAAGAAGCCACCATCTCAAATGACATGCAGGTTGTGACAAAAAAGAAAGGAGATCTTGTATCAGCAAGTAGAGGCTAATGGGTATCACTTCCTCTCACAACTCACTGACCAGTACTACAGACATGGCCCTACACATCATGTGCACACTAGGAAATGCAAATCTTTGATAACCTTCAGAAAGCAGAGAAGCAGAAATATTTGGTGATGAGAAGTAACATCCACCAACTAAACTATTCATAACCACAGTCAACTGGACCCATGACAAAACCATATAAACATCTCTTGGCATGTATTTTGCTTATACTCAGGACTTGAATAACATTAACTGAGCATCCAAATGTCATGTACAATGCTAGCTACTTTCAAAATCATAATAATCTAATTTCCTAAACTTTCACTATTTTTCCTTACCCCACGGCCAACCCCAAGCAGACAACTTTGAAAATGGAGCTTATCTGGCGTAAATATTCTCTCTCAACCTCAAATTTCCTATTGTCATTCATCTTGCTCTGGAGGACCCACTGAGATTCTAACATTTACCTGATTAGAATTACTTATTTCCTCTTATTACCATAGCGTATTTTCTGTACCACCATCATAGAATTTAACAAGCTGCCCTATACTGCCTGTCTTTCCTAAAACATCATGAGCTACTAAAACTGGGATTACATATTACCTTACTTTGTACTTTACTCTGTTTCCAATATACAAAGTCAGTTTTATGCATACACATACTATACATATGTTCAGTTAATCAATTAAAAAAAGGACAAACCTTATTCAGTTGTTCTTCCATTCCTGGTATCAACATTACACATGCAACACACACTCCAACAAGCAAGAAAAGTGCATAGATCAGCCTCGTTACAGTGGAGTTGTTTCCACTAGGACAGCATCGGCACAGCAAACACGGGGCACTGCCACACAAACATGGTATCTGGGAAAAAATATTAAAAATCAGTATGGTTTAAAATGATACAATGAGGGCCGGCTCCGTGGCTTAGCGGTTAAGTGCGCGCGCTCTGATGCTGGTGGCCCGGGTTCGGATCCCGCCCCGAGGCACCACTTCTCCGTCCAACGTGAGGCCGAGTCCCACGTACAGCAACTAGAAGGATGTGAACCTATGACATACAACTATCTACTGGGGCTTTGGGGGGAAAAAAACTGAATAAATAAAATCTTTAAAATGATACAATTAAAATTTACATTCCATCCGCTCAAAAAAACAACCCAATGAAATTAAAGTAATCACCAAGGGACAAATGGTTATCTGGTTCACACACATTATCTATAAACTATTCTGCATAAAGATGGAACAAAGTCAAACATAAAAACACTTGCCGTCTATATCAAGCAAAATGAATAAAATCAGTTAAAACAACATAGGGAAAAAAGTTAGCAGCAGCAACCAAAGTTTAGCTAAAAAAAGAAATGGAATATTCATGATTACAAGCCCATCTCCAGCTCCTGCCCTTTAGACCCTAGAAATCATACTGGTGAATTCACAAAATCCTGAGAATTCTCAAATACTCCAGAGCAGGAGTAGAAGTGAATTGGTATCCTTATCTTTTCCCTCTTCTGATTTGATAGTTGTGATAAAGCGAAAATTACTACTAGAATTAGGCAAAACAGGATAAGTAAACAATTGGCGCTAGCTAAGTTTATCCAATGGAACTTCACACTAAACTAGTAGATACCCCAGGGGAACAACATACTTCCCTGATCAGAAGAGGTAAACACTGGTAAGAGCATTTAACAATATCTCAGAAAGACAAAGTATAAGTATTCTCATAAGGACTGACCATAAGCTAGGTTGAGCTCCACCATACCATCAGACTTCAGGAAGTGGGACAGACTAAGACATCCCAGCCCTGTAACTATAGCTCTGGGGGAAAAGAGTCTCAGATACCATAGGAAGGGAGTATAATAGAAGCCAGACACACTACAGCAACCAATATAAGGCAGGGACAAAGCAGCTTATTTTAAGCTTCAGTAAGATAAAAATAAATGTCATGGCAACTATGCAACTATATTCTAACAAAAACAAAAACAAATAACTAAGCATGCCCCCTCAGACAAAATAAAAAAGAAAAAGGCATTTGAAGAATCCAGTCTGAAATAAAATATAACTCAGTTAGAAAACGAAATTCCCTACAAGTGCTTCACTTGAGTTATAGAAAAATAACAAAGACCAAACAAAAAGGAGAGCTCAAAAATGAAATGGGAAAAGAATAGAACAAGATGGAAAGGGGACTGCAGGGCTAAATAAGGAAAGAAATGAGATGGGGAAGAAAACTTAAAGAATAATTAACTATCAAGAAACAAAACAGACACAGCTGAAAATAAAATCATTGATGGAAAAAAACTTGGGATAATTACCATAAATTCAGGCCAAGATGGAGTAACAGTGACCAGACTTATCCTACTGCCTTAATCAATGAAAAATCATAAATGAAACAATGGTTTTTCAGACAATTAACAACACGCAATGCAAGACAGTAATTTCTGAGAGAGAGGAAACAATGTGAACTTGATGACTGTCCCATCTTTCTCCCTGGGGAAAGTTTCCAGTAGAGAGGAGAATCCAGGCAAAGGCCAGCAGTCTACCTGAGTTGAGGAGACAGAGTTGGAAGCAGGGACAGAGTTGGGTGTTCAGGGAAGTGAAGGCAGCTAGAGTTCACAGGGCTGAATCCTGGAGAGGAGAAAGCTACACAGAGTGAGCTCTGGAGATCTTCAGAGGCTTCAACTTGAGTCTTCAACAGAGCACTCATCAGTGCATGTATTTGAATAAAATGCCCAAGGGGTGGGGAGGAGCTGGTATTCCCACCAGTCCAAGTAGAAAAATCTTATAACCTATGCGACATTGAATAGAGTTGTAAAGCTATTACTGAGTACAGGGGGAAAAAAAAAATCAGCCATAAAACTAAAGGCCGCTCCAGTCTCACTTAACAAAGCCTAAAAGCAAACATCAAAAAAGATCAAATTCTCTTCAAGTAAGTCACCTATGTCCAATAACAAAGCGCAAGAATATTTTTTAAAAACACAAGTATATTCAGCACACATCAAGGTAAAATTTATAAGGTCTGACATTTAATAAAAAACTTATAGGCATACAAAGCAGCAGGAAAAAAATATATATAATGAAGAGAAAAAAAATCAATCAAAATCAACCTGGAAATAACATAGATGACTAAATACAATTACAAATAATGGCACTGTAATATTATTTTAACTATACTTCATATGCTGAAAAAGGTAAAGAAAAACATGAGCATGTTAAGGAGAGACATGGAAATCATTTAAAAGATCCATATCAAACTTCTTGAGAAGAAATAAAATATTCTAAACTAAAAAAATACTGATAAGACACTGCAGAAAAGATTAATGAATCTGAAGACATAACAAAAGAAATGAGTGAAAAGACTGGGACAAAAATGAACAGAGAATCAGTGTTGTGAGTCAACTTTAAACAGCCTAGAGAGAAGAGACAGGAGAGTTCTTTTGAGAAAATACCGCCAAAATGTTCCCAAACTTAAGGAAAACTATAAACTCGCGCAACCAAGAAGCTTAACGAAACCCTAGCAGAATAAACATAATGAAACTACACCAAGTCACATCAAAATCAAATTGCCTAAACATAATGATAAACAGAAAAATCTTAAAAACAGGCATAAAAATAGAGGCACATTATATACAGAGGAACAAAGAAAGATATCAGACTTCTAGCAAGAAACACTGCAAGCCAAGTGAATACTGAACAAAAAAACTGTAAACAGAATTATATACTCAGTGAAAGTATCTTTCAAAAATTAAGGCAAAATAAAGGTATTTTCAGACATAGAAAAAACAAAAGAATCCAAAACTAGCAAACCTAAACTACCAGAGCTGTTGAAGGAAATCCTTTAAGCAGAAGAAAAGTTATGCCAGACAGAAATATAGATCTACACAAAACAAAGAACTGAAATGGTAAATGTATATTTTTTCTTATATAAAAGTTACTTTAAAAAATAATTATCCTTTTAAAGCAAAAATAATAGCAATGTATTGTGGCAGTTTATAACAAAGGTAGAAGTAAAATGTATGACAACTGCAAATAGGCTGCAAGAGCAGACATTCAACTACAGTATTATAAGGTTCTTAAACTAGAAATAAAGTGGTAGAATATGACATGAAGGTAAATTGTAATAAGGTGAAGATGAACAGTATAAACCCTGAAGTGACTTAAAAACATAAAACAAAGAAGTATAGCTAGCAAGCCAAAGAGATAAAAGAGAATACTACGAAATGTCCAATTAATCCAAACTATGGCAAAAAACTAGGGAAAAGGGACAATAAACATGTGGGACAAACAGAAATATGGCTGATTTTAAACCCAAACATAATCAGTAATCCCACATTCAATGTAAATGGTCTAAACACTCCCAACTAAAAGGCAGAGATTGTCACACTGGATTAAAAAAAAAGATTCAACTCTCTTTTGTAAAAGAAACCCACTTAAATATAAAGACAAATAGGTTAAAAGTACAAGAATGGAAAAACATATACCATGCTACAGTAGTATCAATCAAAACAGATTTTAAAGCAAAGAATCTGACCAGAGGTAAGGAGGGCCATTTCATAACGAAAAGGGGACATACATGGAGATATGGGATATTCTTGGAGAAGCCCTACAATTCTAAATGCTTCTGCATCCTAAGAAGACTTCAAAATACATGAAGGAAAAACTAATAAAACTGAAAAAAGTAACAAATCCACATTTATGCTCTTTTGTTAACTGAAATAGCAGAACAAAAATCAGTAAGGATACAGAAACCTTGAACATTTTCAAAAATTGTGCCTAACTGACATTTAGGGAACACTTCATTTAACCAGAGCAGAGTACAAATTATTTTCAAAAGTATACAGAACATTTAACCAAAACAGACCATATTCTGGGCCATAAAACAAATCTCAAATATCAATAAATATAACATGATTCCAATCACATGACATGTATTCTTGGCCCACATGGAATTCAGTTAGAAATCAATAACAGAAAGACATCTGGGAACTACATAACTTACTTCTAATTAACCCACAGGCAGAAAATATCACACAGGAAATTAAACAGAAAAAACATAACACATCACATATGTGAAATACACCTAAAGTAGTTTTTAAAGGAAACTGATAGTATTAAATGGCTATATTAGATAAGAATAAAGGTTTCAAATCAATGAGCTGAGCTTCCACCTTAAAAAACTATTAAATGAACAACTTAAACCAAAATAGGCAAAATAAAGAAAACAATAAAGAGAAGAAATCAATGAAGTAAAAAACAAAAACAAGAAAATCAGTGAAAGCCATTTTAGACAACCATTACAATTGAAAACCCTAGAATCAGCCCGATCAGGATAAAAACAAGCAAGAGTGAATACACAAATCATCAATATCAGAAATCAGAGAGAAGACAATACTACAGATCCTACAAGCATTAAAGGATTATAAGGGAAAAGGATGAGCAATTTTATTCAACAGCTTAGATAAAATGGACAAATTCCATGAGAAACCCAAATAACCAGAAGTCATTCAATAAGATATAGATAAGATAAATAGCCTGATATCTATTTAAAGAAATTGAATTTGTAGTTAAAAACCTTCTAAGGCATAGATTGCTTCACTGGTGAATTCTATTACACATTTAAGGAACAAATCATACCAATTCTAGAAAACTCAAAATACTTCACACCAGAATCACTCTGCCACTAAATCCAAAGAAAACAACAGACCAGTATCCTTCATGAATATAAACAAAAAAATTCTTAATATCTTGTCAAGTCAAAATCAACAATATTAAAAGTATACAGACTTCCAGTTTCTGTTTCCCCATGTAAGGAGCTTGGAAGTCATCACTCCATTCTAACAACAAGAAAAAAGTCAAACAGATTAAAAAATCAA